CTCTCTCTCTCTCTCTCTCTCTCTCTCTCTCTCTCTCTCTCTCTCTCTCTCTCTCTCTCTCTCTCTCTCTCTCTCCACTTCCTTTGCTCTCTCCTCTTCTCCTTTTCCAATTTGTTGCCTGTTTGACGTTTGAATTGTTGCGTTGGAAGACTCTCTTATCCATAACGTGCGCTTGGTACCCAAACCTTCTCACCAAACCTTCTCGCCAAAGCTTCCCGCCAAGCGCCTGCTTTCTTTGGTTTGCCTTTGCCTTCGCCAAGCACATGCTGCACGGGCCTCACCGCACTACTCACCAAGTACACAAATGATGTGGTGCATCTTCTCATGTTCTAGCGGAAGATTCATAGTCGTTTTGTACATGTGGTGAGCAGTGCGGTGAGGCCTCATTCGTGTCCCCAGTACATATTTCGCTCCTAACAGACGATGAGTTTGCCTTCCCGCCAAGCCCTTGCACTCTCTGCCTCGCCTTTGCTCTTCCCGCCATGCCGGAAGGCGAGGGGACGTTGCGGGTGTGTCGAGTCAGGAGCCCGGTTTGTTGTTCGTTATTGTGTTCGTTCAGATTGATCGTAGTGCCATTGTTTAGCTGGTTCGGTTAGGTTGCAGGTGTTTGCTGTCGTACTTTGTTTGTTGTTTGTGATTGCGTTCGTTTACATCGTTCGTTCTGCTCGTTGTTCAGCAGGTCCGTGTAGTTTGTAGCATGTTGCTCTCTCTTCGCACGACCGTTGCGACTTCGTTGTCTGCAATGGTGCTTTCTTGCTTGCAGCTGAAGGCGTCGGCGGTCAGAAGGTGTGGAACGAGCTCGCTTACTCTCGCTGGCCATAGGGTCATGTGCTACTTGGAGTGAGGTGTGTGGTAATTGCCAGCGTCCATGTGGTGTTGCGTGTGGTGTGTGTTGCGTGTGGACACTACAGCCTTGCACGACCAGTATGGTTCCACTTTTGAACACCGTGTCCTAGCTGCAGTGGTTATACTTGGCTCTTGAGGCCGAGGTCGCCGGTTTGAGTCCGTGCTCGTACGGAGGAGGGCTGAGGCCCAGAGGCAATGATCCAATGACATGGCTTCCTTGGCTTCGGAAAATGTCGTAGTCTGTCTGTGTGGCCATTTTCTTGTTGCTTTGTGCTTGCGATTGTGTGCCCGGTTTCTTGTTGCCTTATGCTTGCGATTACCTATCTCTCTGTCTCTCTCTCTTTTTTTCTTTTTCTTTTTTGTGTGTGTTTCTTCCTGTTGTTGTTTTTGTGATGAGCTTGTCCTCTGCTCTCACCACCCCATTTCTTTGTGCTGTGGTCGGTCAATCTCATCACTTGGCAACCCGGTCGTGATCCTCTCTCGTTTTTGTTCCTCCTACTTTTCTCTGCGTACTGTGCATTCTATTTGGAGGTGCCGCATGGCTTGGTGATGGGCGTTTCTTCCTTGTCGCTGTGCAACTTTCCCTCTCCCTTAGCCATACTTGATCGTTTGTCTATCCTTGTGCTGCCTTTGCGTAGCGCTCTATATAGCACACGCCTTCTTGGTGTGTCGTGCTATAGCACTTCTGCGATGTATTCAACTGTGAATTGCCCCAGATGCTGTCAAAAAAGACACAGACTCTGCATAGTTCCAGCCTGAATGCAGCAAGGCGGCCGCGTTGGCAAATTGTGCTTTGCACCTATCCTGTCGTCTTCCCACGAACACAACGCTTCCTGATTCTGAATGTATACGAGTCATGTGTTCTGGTGTGATGCAGTCATAATGAGGGTGCATTGGTAGTCTACAATTATGTACTACTAACACGAACACCAACCTAATGCTACTCAAGTAGTCTCGCTCTGTCCATATTTATTTTATTTATTATTTGCCTCGGCTACCAGCCGGGCCACCTGGGTCACCTTGTTTTCCCGGGCAGTCCGGCCTCGCAAGGACCAGCGAAGGTCCCAGCAAAAAAAAAAAGGAATTCTAAAAGATCCGAGAAAAAAAACTATGTTACGCAGAAAAACAAACTAGGCAACTTTTGCTCAGGGTCACATCAGAAGTTTTTACCAAATTCAAAATAATTTAATAAAACAAAAACTTTAATATATATATATACA